CGCGCGCGTTCCATTCCGACGCACACGTGGCGGCTCTTAATTCGAGCTCGCGGCAACTAAAAACAGATCGCGAGACGTGATACGACGCTTATAAATAAAGCAAGAAAATTCTTTGGAAACGTGCAGATCCACTTTCTTCGTCGAAAGGACTCGATGAAATATTTTAGAATAACCGAGATGTATATTGAAGAGCGATTGCGATTACTGAAACATCTCTCTATAAAGAAAGAAATTATTCTTTGTCTCTCTCGATTACTTTTATTGTAGGTAGCAGTAAATCCCCACCGGGGATTCATAGATGATTCAGACGAGCACATTCTAATTTCGTTAAAACGAAACCCATAACACCTCTACAACCGTTACACATAGATCATCAAAAAGTGAAGTAAAATTGTGAGAAGGACCCACGTTGTGGCATTAAATTATCGATCCACTTAGCGCGCTGCGTACTTTAATTATTAAACGCGTCTACACGCTCCACCGCAATTTCACTCGATATCAACGAATCATATCGTTATACCGTTTGCTGCCGCCGTTACCCAGGCAGCGTAGGTTGGCGGTTCGCCCGCCCGCCTGGCAAATGTAATTTGCCCGAGAGCATCCTAAAGTCGTAATGTCATTAGCCACGGTACGGCTCTTTTCTGGCATTCGTGGCCCATGGGCATTCAAATATTGAAACTGTGTGTTGTACGTGCGCGTGGCTCGCTTGTGTACCCGCGTCTCCCGCTCTACGGTATTCTAATGACCGGCTGCATCGCATGCGTTTCTGATAACGTTACGTTACAGTATGTAGCGGAGGAAGGCGGCACGCGCGACCCATGCGAGCGAGCTTGCGCTTCGATACTACCATTTTTCTTAAAGAGGCAATTCGCAGTAGTCTCGACGGAGGAATCCTAAACTTACGTTGCCGAATCTCTGTTTAAGCGCGTGACCTGACGTGGTAATGCGGACCGCGAAGCCAGGAGGAATCTCGAGCACTTTTTTCCAGCCGCGCACAGAAGCGATAATACTCGGGGACGTTGTTAATATTTCTCACCGCCGAAATATATAAACTCTCGTAACGGAGGACCACGCTGGGATTCCCAAGGGAGTGAGGCGTCGCTGCCGTTATCACCACTGTCCCGTGGAAAGATTCGTGCGGTCTGTGAATCACCGCGATAAAGGTGTTTCTGGCGCTCGTGTGCGTACTGTGGGTCGACGATATCTAGTATATCTAAATTTAAGGCACCAAAAGTGAAAAGTCAGGAAGAACGCTCGATCAGTTATCGTAATCGGCGTTCACTCGAATAACTTTTCGTAAATATCTTAGATGGATGAAGTGTATTTTGAAGATATCGTTTATATTTCCTGCAACACGATTTAATTAGAAAATTGTTATTTTAGATGCTTGCAAAAAGGAACATAAAAAAAAAGAAGAAAAACGTATTTTTAAAATATAGGTAATTAAATTGGTGGGATTATTAATATTTTAGATAGATTGTGTTAAAAGTCTGATAATAACGGCGTTCTGTTATATATATTTCTAAGATAAATTTCTTTTTAAAGAATACGTATATATATTAGTTTAATATCTAACTTTGACTGTCAAGTGGCGCTTGTCGTATTTAAGTGATGTATGACTCCTCATAAACGATCTTGTTTTCAATTTTATTATCGAACATATATTTTTATTCCTCTACAATCAATTATTATATAGAATTGCATTTCATAATTAACATTACCAAATTTTAATAAATTGGAACATTGAAATTAATTCTCTGGAAAACTATTTTTTTAGTTGTGTTGTCGTAGCAAATGAGCGATATGCTACGAACTCTTTTATTGTACTATATTGTGTCAAACTAAATACCGCAAATAGATTGTATTCGTTGTTACAACAATATCGACACCTATTGTAACGTATATTCATTCGCGTTTAGTCATTGAATTTATAATAGAATTTGTGCCTGTTTTATGTAACTTTGTAAGACTTGTGCAAAGAAATTATTTTCTTCCTCTTCTTTTCATTTTAACTGCCTCCAACATCATAATCCAAATTGTATGACGTATGTGCCGCCGACCCTTAACGTTTTATTCCCATGTACACCACCGTCGTCGCCGCACCGGCGGCGTTCCCGTTTTCTGCGCGATAGGAATTACGCGATAAATTATTCCGCGCCGTACTTATCTTTTCTTTCCCATCCTTTTTTTGTCTTTCTTTCGAATTACTGTCGTCGTTATTCAACTCGACCGCAATCACAAATCTGAGAAATAATCAAAAAGTGCAGCGGTACGTATTTTAACCGGGACACGGCGAAATCGCTTGTGACAAGAGAGAATTATTTCTTTTTTTTTTTATAGGAAATAAACCAAAGTCGAACAATGTCGTTAGTCGCGGTATAAGCGGCACAGAACACAAATCCATCGGGCTAAAATAGGATATATCCGAGAATATGGAACTTATACTCGTATGTTGCCGTTCGCGTAACACTATCGACATATTATAATTGAATATCATATCTTCGTAACATAAATGCACGATGTAGATTCGACTATTGTCGATGCGTTACCGATTGTGTTTAAATACATTTATTGAAGATATCGATCAGCGAGCGATTACATAATACGCACGATACACATTCCTTAGTGTCAGTATATGAAAATCCTTTTTTTTTATCTAATCTATGGCGATATTAATCACGTGCAGAAGATTAAAAATAAATAATCTATTTTTATTAATACTGTGGTACTTTGTATTATAATACTGGCTATATATGTATTATATGTCATAAAGTAATTGTATCGTGTCATTAATATCAGAATAGTTTGCAATACTATAATTGGAACGGGAATTTTGTAGGATCGATTAAACGCGATAAATTTTTTTTTTTTTATAAAACAAACGTGTTTATTTTTATGATTCTTTGCTGAAATGGAAAGTGGTAATTAATTTAATACGTATTTAACAGACTGTGAATATGTAATGCGTGATTCGATGAGCGTATTTACAATAATACAATACAATTAGAATTATACAGTCCTAGACGCGCAATTATAGTTAAGACGTATCCACGACCAGTAACGTTCCAGCAGCGCTGGTCTTCGGTGTGCTCGGAAATGTGCATGATTATATTTACAAAATTAGATACAATATTTACAGAGAGTTCACTTACGGACTAATAAGCGTTATGCGACCGTTACTTCATCAACAGACAGTCGTGAATCTTTAGGAACAAGCTCTCGCGAGACGTCTATCTTTTCTTTCTGTCATTTAACACTTGATGATTCGTTATCCACTTTATCGCGAGTGATTGACGAACAAACGACAGGAATGGCAAAGAGGGATGCGCCTTGGGTCATAAAGAAGTGTCAGATGCGCGAGGAACTTTATCTTCAGATTTCTTGAGTCGTAATACGAAAGGAAATATGTATTCGTACTATTTGTAATACATTTTAATCGTCGCATCGAAAATTATTACGAGTACTTGACAAAATTTTATACGCGTGTATTGATAATTCGAAATCTATTACATGAAAACGATTTCTTCGACATTTCGATGCTCATTCCGAAATTAAATGGATGAACAATTACGAAAGCAATATTTGTATAATATTCGTATTATATATATATATCTCACTTCACTTTTCTCGTGTAACGTTATTCCATTCGAGCATCGAAAAAAAAATTATATCTATAAATATTTACAATTAAGTTGTCAAACGCATAATACAGTTATACTGTTAATAAAATAAAATATCACCGATAAAAAAAATAAATGCATTCATCCAAGCGTATTTAAAATAAATATTTATACAGAACACTTTATATTCTCTCTTGTACATTTTTTCTAATACCGTTACAAGATATTATTACAACTGTTCCGTGTATGCTGTTTGATATAAACAATGTTAGAAACAAAAATTACCGACACGATTTAATTAATATTCATATAATAATTGCATTGTGCGTCATAACATCAGTTTCTGTACTGCATTTAGCTATTGCCATTGTAATCATTATTCCCTGCGTTTATCGTACATATCCAAACCACAAATATTAGCGAATTTACTGACAGTTATGACAATTAATGCAAATCGAAACAGGACGATTCTAAATCAAAGGACTCGTATGTGAAAGGGATCACATGACAAAACATTTAAATTAGAGACCTATCCATCGTAATGAAACATTCGGTAAAATTCGCTCAGTTGCTTTTGATCGCGACCCAGTTTCGAGTTTCGATGATTCATCACGATTTCGCGTGGCAAATAAATTAGTCAACGTAGAGACGCGCGAAAGAGATTCGCGAGAATTAGAGAGTACGGATATACGTATATACATAGGTAAATTAATACCGATCCTTAATTACATCTTACGCGACGTCTCGCTCGCTAAATCAAAGCGCAAAAGAATCTATATTCTCACCGATATCGCGTCACTATTTACAAGATCTATACGAAAGGGAAGGGGCCCTTAGAACTTTCGTTCTATGAGTTTCGAAACGGTAGTATTTGGTCGTGATTTGGAAGAACATTGCGCAACGTGAAAAAGAGATACCGAGAATGGAACGAAGAATGACGATCACGTGCGTATCCTAAGTTTGAGAAAAAAAGTCAAGCCATTAAATCTATCCGTCGTACATTATGATAATAAGCACAAGGCATCGAATCGATTTCGTACGTATATGTATAATAATATGCGCGCGTGCTGTGAACGAATCATCCGCTCGCGGCCGAGTGGTTCATACGGGGCGATCGACCCCAAGTGGAAGAGTTAAAGCGCCTCAGTCGAGGTGACGGTCGATACGTCGCGAGTACGGGGAATACTGTACAAGTGTAGTCACAGTCGTTCTGAAGCGAAGGAATTTTTTACATCTCGATTTCTCCCGACGAGAAACATCACGATACGACCAGACGACCGTGCCCCAGCGGGTACCGGAAGCGAGACGAAGACCGGAAGAAAAAGATGGGAAATCGGTCTATCTCCTGCCGGATCGGAGCACGATCGCCGCCCTTCTGCGCTAGACAAAGTAAGTACGCGGATTGCCTGGATGCGCGGGAGCGAGGGCCTCCCCGGGTGGCGCGGTGGGCACTACCGGTGGTTCCGGTATGGTGCTGTAGAGATGGCTGCCTCTCGAGGACAGACTGGCCGGACGGCCGTTACCGGCGTGTAGCGCGCTGTAGCCGTGTTGATGAGGATGATGTGGATGATGCTGATGATGCTGGTGTTCCGCGCCGCTGTCCTCGTCCTCGGTACGGCTGGACGCCGAGCTGACGTAGGTAGACTGCGTGGGTGTCGGCGTGGGTGCATGGTGCACCGGTGCGACCAAAACGCCATTAGGCTTGGTCCAAACGTCCACGGCAGCGGACGGCGCCGCAGTGTACCGCGTCGGCGTGCGATTGCGGTCGTTGACCTTCTTGCTATCGCGCCGTTTGTCGACTGAGTCTGGCATGGCAAACCTCAGCTTTTCCCAGAACCTCTTCTCGCCCCAGATCACTACTGTGCACGTTTGCAGCAGCAGTTGCAACTCTGGGTCTCGGGTGGGCGTCTCAGTAGCTAGCAACACTAACACTCGACGCTTCCGCGAGGTCGGCCTAATGTTCTCCAGCGCCGTTCTTAGAGCGGCGCGGAATTCTGCGTGCTGCCACTCATTCGCGAGGAACACCGGCGAGAAGATTATCACGATGCGTCTCGCGGAGGCCGCGGCCGGTGGTAGCGCCTCCTGCGGCCTGGCCGGTGGTAAGTCGCGCCAATGTAAACAAAGAGCCAAACCGGCTTGCTCTAATTCAGCTGCAAGGAATCTGGAGACGAAGTCTTCGTCACGTTCGCTGTAAATAATATAACCGTCGTACAGTCTATCTCTCTCCTCATCAGGCGGTGCTGTCATTTTACCAAGTCGCAGACCGTAACGCGCGTGGGCCCAGAGTCGCACATCTTGTCGGAAAACGAAAGCTAGTGCGACAAAGAGGCAGATGGCGATCACAGCTACCAGAGCACCAGCAAGTAGGGGTACAAAATTACTGCCTAACAACGGGATCTCTTGGATACCACGACTCACAGCTTCCGTGGACGGATCGCCGCATCTTTCCATTGCTTGGGCAAGAGTCTCGGAACCGTCACGGCAGTACATCTTTTGCGGATCACCACGATGTTCCGCGAGCCATGCGCGTAGTCTGGCAGCATTCACACACTCACAGCTCCACGCATTGCCTTCCAATGCGACCTTGGTGCCATCACCGACGCTCGGCAAAGCTTCCCACGGCCGAAAGTCAACAATACGATTGTTGTCTAATCGTAAAACCTCGAGATTTTGCATCTTCTTGAACGTTGTATTGCCCACAGTCGCGATCGCATTATGATCCAGATACAATTCCGACATGCGCTCCAACTGATCGAATTCGAAGCCCCGTAGTTCCCGTAACGCGTTGTCCTCGAGATGAAGAACGCGCAAAGCACCAACACCGTTGAACGTGCGATTATGTATCGCGATGATACGACTGTTGTTCAAATACAGTACCTCCAAGCGACGTTTACCGATGAAAACGTGACTGCTCAGATCACCTAGCTCATTACCGTCCAGATAGATCTCCGTCGCATCCATAGGTATTCGTTCCGGTACGTGTCTATATCCAGCGTTGGAACAGTCAACGACGTTGCTGGACCAGCTGTGATCGTGATAGCATGAACAATTGTCGGGACAGGTCATCTCGCAGTCGCACGCATCAAAGTCGCAGCAGTGACAGAGTGCGAAGCAGTGCGTATCGTATCGGCAGAGAAAGTCCTTTGGTTTCAAGGAAATCAGAGGACGCCGCGGTGTGGCGCGAGCATGCACCATATCGCACGTGACAGCACCGAGATCCATGACGCGCGGATACTGTCGTAGCCGAGTCATCTCGTTGATCCGTGGCAACCATTCCATGGTGCAATCACAGAGAATGGGATTGTCCCCGATATAAAACGCAGGAAGTTCCTTCTTCTCCGATACCGATTGTAAACCAAGGGCGGTGATCTCCAACTTTCTGATCTCATTGCTGTGAAGCACTACCTTATCCAGATATGGCTTCTGCGAGAATGTGCCAGGAGCAACGTTGCGTATCTTGTTGTTGTTTAGAAACAGCATCTCCACACTATCCGGTACGTTGATATCCTTAATCTCGGTGATAAGGTTGTAGCTGACGTCTAGCATCTTTATTCGCAGACTGTTGTGTACCATGTAGAAATTCCCTAGCTCGCTTATTTGATTGGAGTGTATATCCAGCCATTCTATGCTAGACGGTAGATGGCTGTAGTCGAACCACAGCAGCTTATTATCGGACACGTTCAGCCAAACGAGAGTCGAGAGACTTGTGAAGGCGCCTCGTATGTCTGTCAATTGATTTCCGTCCAGTCTTATAACCCGTAACACCGGATTATTTGAGAAAGCACTTTGTTCCACGTGACGAATGAAATTATTCGCTAGATTAAGCACTTGTAACGCTGGCAAAGTAGCGAATGCTTCGCGCGACACGTTTTCCAACTTGTTGTCCACTAAACGCAATCCGTAAACCTCGTTCAAACCGGCAAACGAGTCATTATCGATTCTCGACATTTGATTGTTACCTAGATCGAGAGTTTTGAGTGAGTGCAACACGCGGACCGCGTAAGGAACTTCCATCAAAGCATTTCCGCTCAAAGAGAGATCTTGAAGGTTCGTGAGATTGGTGAACACATGCCTATGTAGGACGCGCAGTCTGTTGCTATCTAGGAAGAGCTGTCCGAGCGCACTAAGACCGATCGTGTGCACCGGTTCGAATCTGGAGATCCTGTTGTGCGAAAGCGTTAAGGAATGCAGACTAATGAGCGAGGCGAAACAACCGTCGGCGAGCGTATCGATATTATTGTGTTCAAGCTTCAGAATCTGTAAGCTGCTCAGACCTTTGAAGACGGACGCATCTATTTTCGTCAAAGCGTTGAATGATAGATCAAGAACGACGAGATGAATCAACTGTGAAAAAGTATCTCGTTTCACCCATGGGTTCGTTAGTCCGTTATTGCTGAGATCTAACTCCTGGAGTTCCTCAAGACTGTCCAGCAGCCCGGGTGCTAATACCGTCAGGGAATTATTACTGAGTATCAGCTGTCTCAGCTCTCTCGTTTTGGAAAATAATTCTGGTGGCAGTGCAACGAGTCTATTGCTAGACATATTGAGGATTTGCAAAGATGTAAGGCCAGTTAGAGCGTGGTCACCTACGGAACCGATTACATTATCCTGTACCTTCAGCACGGTCAAGCTACGCAAGCTGCTGAGTGCGCCGTCGGGCAAGGCACTGAGGTCGTTATTACTGATGTCGAGAATCTCAAGATTTGGCGTACAGGACTCGCTCCAATCGGCAAAGCCTAGAGACGTGATGTCCTGTAACTTGTTGCGCGTCAAGTTCAAACTCACGATACTCTGCACCGGACAGAACAGTTCCGACGGCAACGTCCAAAGATTGTTATCGGAGAGATCGAGGTGCTGCAGATTCGTCAAACCACGAAGCGCATCGCGATGAAATTCCAGCGTCATGGTCGACCAATCACCGTTGTGCGTTCGCAGGGATAGACTGCGGAGATTGTGTACTAGGGCGAATACACCGCCCGGTAAGTTTCGGATCTTGCAATAATCAACGCGCAATTTCGTGAGACGCGGTAACGGTAACAGGAAAAGTTGCGAACCCTCGAGCTGACTTTCGAAGAACAATACATCACTGCATTCCAATCCCAACGATGTAATGGAATCTATTTGTATCGCCGAAAGATTTCCAATCAGATCAGACACGTTCGCGATCGTTTTGACCTGGCACGCCAGAATCTTCTCCGCGTCATCGTTTTCCTTTCTCCACTCGCAGCCGTTCGGTGCCTGTGAGAGACTTGTGATGCTGCGCCCGTACACCGTACAATAATCCAGCGTCAGGCACAGGACGACGATCGTCGATAGGATCGCCGGCCACGACCATGACGCTACACGACAACGCGCTTCCATTCTGGACGATGTTTCCGTAGTCGCACACCTGTAGCCGGAAAATACTCGCGCGAGTGCTTGAGAGATTAGACGCACCGTCACGCATTCATAGTTGCGGCACTCTGTTTAAACTGTATACACTCCGTTTCACGCCACGCCACGTCACAAGCAGAAAAAAGCAAAAAAAACACACTGATTTATATTCAACCAACTCTAACCGATTTTCCAGCCGTCGGCGAACACGACTCACACTAACATCGACGCGACGACCCTCGACCTCGTCATCCGCTCGCGCGAATCGGTCGAGCACCGATCGCTCATTCCCAACGGATAAGACGCGAAGCGATCACCAACACAATAGATGCGGTGGATATTTTACTGTCGTAATGATGACGTGATTACGTGCGACCCGGGGTGACGATAACTGCGACCCGGGATACGACGACATTCCACCGCGACGGTCGGAGTGCAACTGACTCCGAGACGGAGTTCACGTTCTATCGACGATCACGGTATACCCTGCATAACTAGCAGCGTGCGGTTGCCTTCCCCTTCTCTCGGTTCTCCATTTCCACCACCGTTGCCATTGCCCCACCACTAGCAGGATATACCCCTTCTATTTTCTTTCCTTCAACGTGCTACACCGGCACAGTATACACCGGCACTGACACAGAGACACGGTGCTCGCGAGAACGCTTCTCGACGAACGTTGAATGCCACAGGCGGCTGCCTGCCTTCTTGCCTGCCTGCCTGCCTACCTCGGAGATGCAACAAACCAGCTGACTGACAACATTACTCTCTTCCTCCCCCCTCTCTCTGTCTTTCTCTCTCCCTCTTCTGTTCTTCTCTCTTCTTACTAGGTAAACACTAAACTGGTTCCTAGACGCACTGGCATGCATTTATCAAACGGCTTCTCTTCCGAACATTCTCTCCTCCGTTTCTTCGTGCGAGGATCTTTCACCCTCGGGCGCCTCGTAACGTCCACGACGTCGTCTAATAGGCTGCGGGATATCCCACGGCGCCTGTCGGCGAACTTTTATAGGATAAACACTTGTTTTTTCCGCGATGATTTGTTGTTTCTCCATTTTGACGTTTGAACTTTCAACCGGCTGTTTTTGGCTACTCCCAAAAGTATTCAAGACAACCGTAACGTTGCATGCCGAAAAGGATTTGTTGTATCTTCGTTGCGAACGTGAGTGGATTTCCTGCAAAAGTTTCGAAACAGATATGCTCAACACGTATATTTTCAAAGTTTCGGTTTGGACATGCGAACTTGCATGCGTGAGTGCATTTGGTACGCATTTGATGTCAGTTGTAATCAGATTGCCCGCGTATGCAACGATAACTTCGGCTAGATTCGATAAATTAAACTTACTTGATGAATTGTTAATGGATTTGACAGCTGAACAGAACGGATATTGGTCAATCAGTTTGACTAGAATTAATATTATATATTTAGATCTAATTATATTATTATATTTTTATTAAAATTTGCCTAAAGTTAATTTATAAATAATATATTTATGTGTAGCTTCTCGTAGAAAAAGAAAACGGCTGTGTTTTCCATGCATAGAGGGTAACTATCCCTAAAAGTAGGTGAGGCCTTTAACGCCATCTGCATTTTATCTAGATAACTAAGCTTTTAGATGAAACTAATGCTTTTACCTAGATTTTACATACAGCTTACATGTAAAAAGATTTAAATAATTTAAGGGGTTATATTAAAACATAAATGTTTTTGTCAATATCTTTGTTATTTATTTTATATAAATCTATTGTATTTTTTTATATAAGTATAAAATTTTATCTAATACAATAGTTTGGTAAGTTTAAAAAACTTTTAAATTTTTTTAACAATTTTTTAAAAATTTTTTATGTACTTTAATTATTTTGTTTTTAAAAATAACTCGAACTGATCTCAATATAAAATCATTATATGTATTCTTATTCTAAAATTAGATAAATTTAATATCTGCAGTTTTTTATGTTTATAGCAAAGGTTTATTATAATTAGCTTTACGTTTTAAAAGGATATAATATGTATATATATATATATATGTGTGTGTATATTATATCCTTTTATAATTCAAATACAATCAATATAACATTCTTTAAAAATAGTATATTTTCCACGTCATGTGAAAAAAATCATAAATCATTTTCATAGCTCTTAATAGAGATTGGATTTCAATATTAGATTAAAGTCCATTACATCTCATGGCAGTTCTATTTGGATTTAAAAAAATCTCGTGTATATTCAGAACCAAAGAGGAAATTGTTAATTGAAAGATTAATATATTACTGCGCGCACGATATATTAATTGCATATCTCTTAACGTCTAACTTTTCCTGAAACTTATTGTAAACGACGGCTACTCATCTGTCGCTGTAAGAGTGTATAAGATGATGAATCACGCAGGTATACTAGATGAGCGTACGGGATTATAAATTCGAAGTCGTACTGCGCGTGTACTCACGATGACGGATGGAGGCATTCATGGATTTAAACATACGGGGTTTCCACACTTCATTATGTATTTACGGCTTGTCAGCGTGATATCATTTCCCTGTCAGTCCTGCTGACGACTAAACCGCCTCACGTCGCAATTGGAATACTTTATCAGTGTGACTAAGTGTATACGGGGCACACCTCCCTTCCTCCTGACGGCTAAGCGTATCGCTCACGTTCCTATTACATGCGTTATTTTCATTTAGCGTGATCCAAGTACGAAGCGCACGATCTCCGCGGGTTATCTGAATCTCTTTAGCCGTTCGTGATCGTAAGAGTGGCACATAGGATGTCGATTTTTTTCCTTTTTTTGTAAAACACAATTTGCAAGATTAGAGAACCTTAGGTAAAATAACAACATCTATTTATTTAACGCGCTCTAAGTGAAATAATGTTAAAATACGTAAACCGTTATAGAGAGTGTGTACCAACACCATGGAAAGGCTCGTAGTTATACACGTCCTCTTTCTCTTTCTTCCTCATTCTCTTTTTCTCTCTTTTTCTTTTCGTAGAAATACCGGAGAAATAATTTAGGCGATAGACGACGAAGTCTTTGAGTTGTCCGCGAGAGAATGAAAGATCTAAATAACCGTGCAGCCGCTCCTAAGGAATCTGTGAGGGAGAGTCCTTTCTTCTCTCGCTCCGGCAGCGTACTATCTGTTGAAATTTATGCTCGCACTAGTTTCATGCAAGCGCAAGGAAAAAGGAGCAACCGAATCTTTGAATGGACTGTTCTCTTATTTGAATAAATATTTTTTTTCTGCTGCACAGTATCATGTGCGTGAGTTCATTTCACAAAAATGAAACATCGTTGTTAAATGACCGAAAAGTGCTATTCTAAGGAAGAGCCGACTTTAAAAAAAACATCGGCGATGAGATGGATTGTTATATATATCATTATTCGTTACGGTTCGTTGGTTAAGAATTCTATTCTTCGTTGAAGAAGAATAGGAAGGTGTAATTTGAGACCATAAGATTATCATCGAAAGAAAGGAGAGAATCGTTCTTATATATAAACAATATAGAATATATATTATTGTAAAGTCAAATTGAAAATACATTAAAAAGCTAACTTGCATGTGTAATAAAGACAAATTTTGAAACGCGCCCTCTACTTAATTAATACTTCAGAAATTAATAATTAGCGGACAGAATTTTTTTTCTTGATAAATATTTTGTTTCATTTAACAGGTGTCAAAAAGACAGTTTATATAAATTTCCATTTTGCATTTCAAAATATTGTAAAGACATTTTTCCGAAACGCGAGTCGGCCTCCGATCCTCTGTGGAAGAGCGAAAGAAGAAAGTAGCGTGGAGAGGAAGGTTTGTGACAAATCCTTTTTGATATGTACGGGAACTCTGAAAGAGTGTGGCGAACAAGCATTCAATATACCTAATAAAAAAACCGATAATCGAATTCATAGACGGAACAGTCGTATCTTTCTTCAGGAAAGCATGGATGACGTCGTTGATAGAAATTCCTCCGTTTCGGACAACAGAATCGTTCATTGGCTGAATGTTTGTTCGGCGTGACGAAACTGCTGTCTGTCAACGACGGGAAGATCCTCGTATCGTCGCCCGCACTTTCACTCTCAGGTCCATTCTGCGGAGGAGGTCAGCCAGGGTTAACGACGAAAACTGTATCGCGTCACGAAATGCCGCGGGCATTAGCATACGAACGAAGGACGCGCCGCGTGACCAAGAAGGCCAGTTCGAATGGACATACAGACGAATGGACTGGAAGACGAAAGAGGTAAGTAGGTGCCACGAAGAAGTTGACGTTTCCCGTGCATGCACCATGCATACACGCCGGCTGGCCTCGCAGGCGGAGCTTTCGCGCTGGAAAGACCGCCTGCAGACCGCCCCAGTGTGTTTCGTTTCATCGTCGTCGATGTGGCGTGCAAGAAGGTCGGCGAATAAACGCGCTCCCGGATGGCGGTTAACACGGCACCGGCCGGCCGTGTTTACCGTAGTTGGAAAACGTCGGCGTCTCAATGGCGAGTTCCTGGACGGGACCATGTCTAGTTCCCGTGTGCATAGCATCTGTGGGAGAATGTCCTACGGCGGGATGATGAAAAAAGTCGAAACGGTTTGCGAAAAATAAATTTACAGTAGAGAATACATAATTATAGTAATGGTAAGGATCTTTATGACACAATAGAAGGAATAAGGAATGTCAACCTATCTGAAACTATGTATTTCGATATATCCGGTTTCTGATTGGTTGAAATTTCTTATTCCTAATTCATTTAAGATGCGACGCTGGTGCGTCTCTATAAAGACTAATGCTCGGAAACATTGGGATATCCGTGAAAAAACGAGCAGTTATAAAAGTAATTTTGAAAGCGTAGCCAAATTTGTCGAACAAATATTATAATTCTGTCTTGAAATTAAGTTTGCGAGGATCATAATGATGGTTAATTTCAGCAATGGTTTCATTAATAACTTCTCCTAAATCTATTATGGATGTTCCGTAATTTACGGAATTCATTCTGAAGTATTGATTCGTTCGT